ATATATATATATTTATTTATTTATTTATTTATTTACTTATTTATATACACATATATAGCTGTTACTTTTAACGACTATAAACTTTCAGATAGAAAGCGAATGATATACAGTGAGACCACACAGCATCACCGGCTGTCGCAACCGCTCGTGAAGGGCACCGTCAAGGAATTGTAAGTCACTGTACCTCTCCGAAAAGAAGCTTCTGGAGCGGTTGCACGACACACCATCTGAGCGAGCCGAAGTCAGACGTAAAAGAGGTACAAGTCTCATGATTGATCATTTTTTCCATATAATCTTTTTTGACACCGTTGCGATTACCAAATGCTTCAAGTTTAAAAACTCTATTCGGCATTTCCTTGTTTTCACTATTTGAGTTTGTACTTTTCCCATTATTCAGTTCGTGCCCAGTTCGCAGCTTTGTATCTTACCAGAGGATCAGTTATTGTCATTTTATCTACTGCTTTAATCTGTGCCAACAATTCCTTGCAGGGTCTAATTACTGAAGACGACTCAGTGTTCTCAAAATTTTCAGATATCAAATATATGGGTGAAGTGAGTATAAAGATGTTAAACTACAAGACGAGCTTCCATCATTATATTATCGTCAGTGAAGTATTTTGAATGAGAAGAGAATCATCACTGTAAAAAAGGGTTCGAAGACGCGGAAGTCAGAGATCTTCAAAGACCTACGAATGAGTCTGTGGTCCGCAGTGGCAAGCAAGGCCTAAATTACGACCCACAGTAAAACTAACGTAAAACCAGAAGGCCCAAGTATGGAGTGTATGGGCACTGCTACAGTAGTAGTTCTCCAGTTTAGTTTGTTAACCACGAAACCTGCTCTACAACAAAAACATGCAAAAAAACACAGACTCAATTACTGCTTGTAAGGAACTGAACATCAAGAACTAGACAGCTCGCAGAAAAAACCACAGTAAAAACTAGAGAAATTGAAGTATGACTGCGAGCTCTAGCGGACGCAGATATGACAGGAAATATTTCAGCTTAAAAATTACAAATAACCCACTATGGAACAGTTGCTATAATCCCTTCCTTCTTTAAACCGCCCCTTTATTTAGTCATGTAACTGTTCTAAATTATATTTCTAATGCCTATATATAAGCAAATCTTTCTCCATTATTCTTTAATACTAATGATAGCAGAAACATGTACTTACGTGCAAAAACTCCTATATGAATTTTCAAAAACTTGGCCAGACATTTGCCGCCCACCTCTCATCTCCCCCCTCCCTCTGCTTACTCTACATTCCGCTGCAGATGTTTAAAATAGCATGAGCATTAGCGTTATGCTCAAAACAATCGACTGCAGTCAAAATTCTTCCACTAACTGAACGAATAAGGCTTAAAATAGCCACTTAAATAAACTGGCACTAATACGGGAAAGAGAACATCAGTTTCGACGTGAAATGTTGTCTGATCGAACGATTACAAAAGTGGAAAGTGAATGTTATTTAAATTTGCTATCTGCCAATTGAGTCCATAATGCAAATAAAGCTTTTATAAAACAAACAAAACGCTTCACACACTTGCCACTCTGGGCACTCAGTATATTACCGTTAACTCCGGGTCGCTGAACCAGCATTTTCTGGAACTTACAAATTCAGTATTGCTAATGTTTTCTCAAATACCTGCCAATTTTTACAAATAACCATCACGTAACAGCCATCTCGTTCATGAGAGACCCTCAGTGAGGATACAGCAACCAAGCGCAACTGCATGCTCTGATATCGGGCGTTTCGCAAAAACAGCAAGTTATGCAAATGAAGCCTGGCAAATCTGAAAGTCCTCTACTGTGCCATACCTAACCCGAACTAGGGACACAGATGGGAAAACAACAGCTTCGTTCTCAAAAAAAGTTTCACACCTTCACATTTGATATCAAGTTAGAAAGACCACGTTACACAAATCCTAAAAGCCACTAAGTACTTCCAAGTTATACAAGAACCTCAAAATACTTGCAAAAAATCCTTTTTAAAGCATCGTTGTTAGAGCACAATGCAGTACCTCGCAAGCTGCGAATTTCTGTTGTAAAAACAGAAGAAAAAATTAGAGATGAAACAAAGCATACACTAAAAGGTTTCATGTGTGGGCTGCGCCAGGCTTTTCACTACACTTAGAAAAAAAAGATCTTAAGCGAAAGCATATCAAATGAAATACTTCAGGAAATACAAAAAGCACGACTGCGCGCTTAGTACAGAAAATACAACACATTTACCCTTTACATCCTAAGCAAGAAATTATGAAAAAAAGAGTACCCGCCAAAGCACAAAACTTCCCTCTCAAGCCTTCCGGTCAAAAAAAAAAAGGCAAAATGAAAAAAGTATCTATTCAGCATGAAATTTGACCGTGCTATGAAACAAGCTCGTTAGTTATGCGCTTTAGGTTTTTTAGCCTCAATCGAAAGTTACCTGGTCCAAACACCTATCCATCACTTTTCATTAAGAATTATCAACAAGGCAATAAATACAATAATTGAAATGGACCTTTACACCTTAAAAGTTCGCTAGTTTTAAAGTTTACTAAACTGAAGAAAGCTCTCCGTAGAATTTCGATCCGGAAAAACAAGCAACGACATCTACTGTTATGCAGAAGACAAAATTTAAAAAAAAATTTTGAAAGCATCCACTTTTGCGGAAGAAAAATACAACTAGATTAATTACCCCACATTTACTGCCAGATACCTAACTTTCTCTCAAACTGAAAGCCTGTCTTCTCCCAGTATAGCGTGTATGTTTAACTAACGATTCTACATAGAATCTAAATGATTTGAAAAGGTTTAATTTAGATTAGTGAAAAGCCCTAGGTGAAACTCCAATAAAAACTGAAAATAATGGAACAACTTCAACAGTTTCGCCAAAAACTGAAATAAGCTTCCACCAAGCACAAATAGTTCATGTGAGCCAAACTCATCGACCTCAAAAACAGCAAGCTAGCCACGCGAGGAATCTCAAAAACTGACTTATCACCTCCTCAAAAAACTCAGAAAACGAACCGTAACTGAGAAAAAAAAAAA